TACTAAAACACAACATACTGTAGATTGTATTCATAGAATATATAAAAAACAATCTCTCATATCACATAAAATTAGGGAATATTTAGTAGTATTAATAGTTTTACCATTAATAAATTATTTATTATCATGTATGCGATCGACAATATGTATTGAAGTGATTCAGTTATACAAACAATTTGTGTCTATACTGTATATTTTTGGCAATCAAATAATTTAATAGATTCTGAATAAGGATAGTATTGAGGATATTAACAGTGCCTTTTATTTTATCTTTATGGTAATTTTGGACCATATAAATCACCAACTAATAATCAATGTATAATTGGTTTTGTTTAATAATAATTATAATTTGTTTGTTCAAATTCTAAGCTTTAAATCGGCATTTATTTAGCGACCAATATTATAATGAAAGACTAGATTTCGTATTCCTATGGATTTAATTATGTTGTTGTTATGGGTTTGGGTTGTGTTTAATAAGATTGATGCCATATATCAAATAAACTAAATTTATTTAAAGTCACTCGCTTTTGTGCACTTTATAATTCAATTACCAACAGCAATCTCATGGTTTGAATACAGTGAACAATTGATCATATGTTCACCCGTATTATATTTCAAGATTTTAAAACTAACTTAATAACTAAAATTTTAATTTAGTTACAACAACCACTATAAATTCTAAATCACAATTTTTACTTAACTTTTGCTAACTGTAATCAATTACTGTGACAATGAAGGTATTGGCATAAATATAGGGTAAGACGGGAAGCAAACATTTGCTAAAAAGACACTTGCTCGAAAGTTTTTTATTTAATTTGCTTTAAATATATCAACTTAGTCAAAATTGCAAATAATATTGTTATTTAAGTTAATATGAGTTTGTTTAGGTTGGATTAGGTTTAACTGGTTAATTCTTGAAATTAAGTTAATTTTTTCAAATGTAATAGACACGCGTAAGACAACCATAATTAAGTTTAATCAATGCACCATATTTATTTTATACAATGTTAGGAATGTTAGGCCTACTGTATTTCACATTATAACTTATTTAATTTTTGTTTTAAATTAAAAAATATAATGATTTTTGTTTTATTATTTTTAATATTTTATAAACAACAGAATGGCTGATAAGAACTATTGTTGACTGTATTATTATATTTTGATTGAAAAGCATTAAAAGTTTAATATAAAATCGATTTTTATTTGTTTACGCAAAATAAGTAGAAAATACTATTTTTTGAACCAAATGCCAAAAACAGTATAAAAATCGACAAAATTAATAAAATAAGAAATACTGCACTGTATTTTCTATCTATAAAAGCATATTGTATTTCAGATTTTAATTTATATTAAATGTGGAAATAATTCAGCGAAATATAAATTACAAAACATTATACAGTTGACATTCGGTTTTGACAGGCGCGATTTTAACAGAATTCGGTTTTAACATAACATTTTGTTAGCACCGGCGAGCCCTATACACACTGTAATGTTAAACAGCTCGATTTTGACACATTCGATTTTGACAGAATTCGGTTTTAACAGTGAATTTTCATTGGCAGTATAGCATAACTCTATGGTTCGATTTTAACACATTGAATGTTATGTTATGTTTTGATACATTTTTCATGGAAAAATGTTGATCAAAAACGAAGAAAGTGCTTGAAACCTTGAAAATACTTGAAACCAAGTACAAAATTATTAAATTAATTGTTAAAATGTTAATTATAATGAAATTGTGCTCCAATTTAGTGACCAATATAAAATAAATGCTATTTTTCATTAAAACAATTAATTTAATGCACATTTCAATGATATTCGATTTTAACAGAATTCGATTTTGACACATATTTTTAACAGCACCGAAAAAATGTCAAAACCGAATGTCAACTGTATTACAGACGTTTTCTTGAGATATTGTTTTCAGAGCTAATGATTTGCTTTTTGGGAAATAAATTCATGAAACAAATGATTAATTGAAACAACAAAAAATGTAATTGTCTTTTACTTTGACTCCAATTTCAGATTTTAAATTAAATTTTTTTGTATGAAAAATGAGTTTTAAATCTTTTTGTTTCTAACAATTTGTTATAAACGAAAGCATTTGAAACGAACTAATTGTTTGCATTGTAATATTATCATGATAATACATTTTATTGTGCATTTAAGTTAACATAAGTTAATGACTTTACTGTATATTTCGCAAAATTGAGCACAAATTTCAAATCCATTTTGATATTAATAATGATAATAATTTATCGTTTGATTTCCATATCAATTGCTCTTAATATGCAAAGGAAAGAGAATATTCCTCAAGACTTTTACTTTCAATTAATTCAATGATTATATTCTATCCAATACTGAATGTAATAATGAAAATTTATATTGAAAACTACATAATTTATTTAAATCAACTTTTATATAACCTTTATATAACATCTCAATATTCGTGGGTTTTCTGTAGGATTAGAAAAAACTAAATAAATTCAAATCAAACATTAATGAAAATGTATTTGAAATTCAATCTCTTGTAATCGTAAACAAGATCTTCTCCAGAGATTAGACGACACATACATTTCATTATTAATTTAAATTATATTTTGTTTAAATAAGACTTATTTGAAGAGTGGAAGCGCTTTCTCATACCGTAGAAAATCATATAATAGATGTGTTTATAATTTTAAAACAATTTGATGTGTAAACTAATAAATATTTATGTGTGTAAACTACTAAAGATATAATTCTGTGGTATTGTATGTGTGAATACACAGTATACTGAATATTAACCTTAATAAATCAAATTGGTTTAATTTATAACACAACTTATCAAAAGATACTTATATTTTGAAATTATAATAAAATTATGTATTCTATAATTAATGTATATGTTATAAGAGTTTATTAAATTGCTAAAATATAATTTAAATCAAATATAATGTAATTATATTTACAGTATTTTTAATAACTGGAGCCCATCTGGGAAATTGATAAATGGCTGTTCAGTAGTTCACTACTTATATTATGTAAATATCAATATATTATTCAATCGATTAAACGTTTTTCTTTAAACCAATTGAGCAATCGCTTCATCTCATGAAATAAATGCATAAAATATTTAAAATGTCGTTAAAAGAGTGCCTTTTTAAGTCAAATCCAAACTACTCTTTAATTATCGAGTTTTGAAAAATTATTATTATTTTGCATAAAATTACTAAATAATTAATTGGCTATAAATTATTAGTGAATTCAGACAAACATTGGGTGCGAGGGTTGGGGTTAAGGACAGGAAGAGGAGGGGATCGACGATAACAACGCTTTTTTCAAATTATATTTTCGCACGAAATATCGATTTTAAAATCTATTAAAAATAAGTATAGCGTGAAAGAAGTCATTATAATAATAACAGACAAAATGAAACGACTTTTAAACACATTTGTATATAAATTCAAAAAACTAAACATTTATTTCAATTATAATTAAATTCAACTTAAAGTACAATCACTTTTAAGACAATTTGAATAGAAATACAATAATTAATAAATTCAATAAATCATTCATTTTATTAAATGTAACCTAAGGTAAGGGAGAGTAAAAAGTCTATCGTTTAATGCATTTTATTTGCATTTCAATTGCAAAATGATATTTAATAATATCACATGAAATATAAGTCTCATTCATAATAAAAAATATTATCGATTAACCGTAAAAATACTAATTCAAAAAAATTATCTCTTTCTTTATTATACATTGAATTAAGACTTGGCTTCAAATATAAAGTTTCAAACTTAAAAAATATAATCAATTTTCGCTAAAATATAGTAACTCTTATTTAGTATTATTTTAGTGTTAAATTTATTGCCAATAATTATATTTAATGATCATATTTAGCGTTTCATTTTTAATCATCATTGCTATGACTACTACTGCCGTTATCGCCGCTACCGTTGCTGTCAATCATCTCCAATGAGCTCAACTCTGTGGACGCGTTCATCGACTGTATGTCCGGTTCGCCTAATGTCTTGGACTGGAAGTAATCGTCCGACTCGTCGCTCCATTCAATATTGACGGGTCCGACGTTGTCGTTGTACTTCTTGTTGTACTCCTTGTGGGCGCCGTCGCAAAGTGGGAACGTCTCGGATCGCCAGCACCGGCACAACGATAACTTTTTGCCTGAAAAATATCGCAATATTTCCATCCATTAGTTCATTAAATTTAATTCAAGTCTTATTCAAATAAAACAAACAACACTATTAAATGTTAAGTTAAATTAAGTCATAGCAACTATGAAATTAATTGCGGTATTAATTAATCCAATGCAATGGATATTGAACTCAATTTCTTGCAATTAATCTAAATATTTTATTCTGCAATCAATATTCATAATGACTTTGACTTTAAAATGCAAATAACTCGTCAAGAATTCAATGATATGAAGAGAATATAAAGTCAATAATAAATATCATTACATATTGTAATTATTAAATAATGATTTGTGTAGACATATATGCAGACTAAGTACTGATAAGACTTCCGATAATAATAAGTATAAGAAGACAATTAAATTAGTGTTTATCCAAAAATGTTGTAATAAACCTCTCAGACGAGTGATGTTTATAATCAAAAACTATATTCTCTTCAATTGAAATTAGTTTCAAAATTAAATGAAAAATGTTTAAAATAATTACTAAAACAGTATAAACATAATAATCAAATAAAGTTAATGTCTATACAAATAAACAAACTCTAAGACACTATTAAACAAATGAAACTTAAAATTAAAACAAACAAAAAAGATATTAAGCATAATATCTTTGAATTTCGTACTCATTTCGTATCGATTGAAACAACACTTGACTTTGAATCCAAACAATTACTTTGAAAACACAATTGGAAAATAATAAAATTCAATCCAAAAACTCATAACCAATAACTCAATTGAAAATTGAGATCAAATGAAATGAATTAAAATCATAAAAGAATGACAAATAAACACAATTGGATTAGACTTTGGATGACTTTGAATGAACACAATCGGAGTCATAATCGCCAACCTCTGGCTCCGGATCCGAACCGCAAGTGTTATCAACGGCTAATCCGTCAACACTTAAGTCGTCCTCATCTTTAATACTGGTGTTGAAGCTCATGTTAAACGCGGCCGACTCTTGTCTTATGCGATCTAAATAGTGATTCTTGAAATGGGCTTCACTTTTATCCCAACGAACCAATAATTCGCTCAAAATCTCTTCATTATTATCAGTAATCGACGGTCTCTGGCCTCTGACTACAGGCATCTCTTCGCCAGCGAACAGATCGAAAGCCATATTCAACAGATTGTCTTCACTTATATCTTCGATCACTTTCTTTTTGCAGATACTTTTCGATTGTTTGGATCTCTGTTTACGATATCTCTTCATTTCGCTGTCGTAACGCTTTTTGTCGGTTTCAGACAATTGGTGATAGTATTGCTTCTGCTCTTCGGACAACTTCTTCCAATTGTGGGCACATTTCTTTGCAAACTCGGCAAATATGAGCCGATCGTCGGCCGACAGACACAACCGATTGGACTCACTGTCGGCGCATTCGCTCACAAAGTAAGAATAAGCTGACCGCCGACCTCGAGGTCTACTCTCATCGCATTCTTCGCATTGAACACCACTTGTCGATGTCGTGCCGTTAGTGTTATGACAAGTTATCTCTTGATTATCGTCTGAGTTATTCAAATCCAAAAGAGTTTTTGAAAATAGTGTTTCAGTTATTCAGTGTTTTGAATGCATTGATTAGAATATTAAATGAGAGTTTAATTTATAAATTATTAATCAAATTATATGTTATGTTGAGTGCATTTATATGAAAAGGGAGTGAAAGTTGCAAAAGTGTTAACAAATTAGAAAATAGTGCAAACTTTGAGCCAAAAACTGATTCAATTATATAATTTCAATATATTTTTGGCATTCATTCAAATCAACAGTAAAACAGACCAAAAAACACAAGA